GGCAAGCACCTTGGACACCACTCTGCAGGACCCCCAGCGAGGCTAGGAGGGACCAGAAGGAAGACACTGGCTGCATGTGACGCATGTGCAATGATGGATTCCAGGCTGAGGTCACTCAGGTTAAATCCATTCCAGGTCAAAGGGCCTTGCTACTGATCCAGTTTCTGAAAGATCCCAAGCTTACATCACAGGTGCTAGACTTCCACTTGCACAATCAACAGCTGTTTGCAAAAGCAGAAAAGCAGCAAGCTCTGGCTGAGCTGAAAATGGTTTAAGCCCATTACTTCTTGTTCTATCCCCTATGGACATGGAGAACAGTTTGTAAATGTTTTGCTTTGAAGAAGCTTTGCTGGTTCAGTCCTGGAGCAGAAGATGTTTAGAGCGTCTGCCCTTGGAAGATTAAAAATTCAGATTAGATATACATTTTCCAAAGATGGCTTTGACAGGGCAGATCCTGGCCTGCACAGGGGTTTGGAGTAGATGTGACTTCCTAAGTTCCTTCCCTGCCCTGATATCAAAAGATGGAGAATGCACACCCTCTCCTTAACCCCTGCCCTATCCTCCCCAGTTAAATCACCATCTTTTATTTTGAATGAGTTATTCCTATTGTTGTCCCCAACGGACGGTGTGAGTTCGTGCCCGGTGCGCTCTTGCCAATGAACACACAGGAGTGGAGGATCCAACTTAATCTTTATTGTTTCAAGTCTGCGCAGAGAGGGGTGCTTGGCGATCGTTTGCAAAGCAAGCACCCCAGTTACTACCTTTGGGTACCTTTTATACATAGGTTCACAAGTGTATCGCTCGGTGATTGGTTACAAACCACTGACATAAGACGTTCTCTACTGAGCATGTCTCTATACCTGTGTTTTAGCCATGTATTTCATTTGCATACATGTATGTTTCATTAACATACTTTGCTCTGCCCAGGGGTGTGATTTTTAGCATTATAATGAGATCTTTTTCTGAACTTCTTGCTATCTTGCAGGTGTCAGAGAGACATTTTCCTGCTGGTGTTAGGGAGGCATTCTAGGAATCTTCCGCATCCCACACGCTGTGCTCTGCAAGCATCTCTCAATACACACATACCACACCCCTCCCAGCACCAGCAAGTTGCCTTAAGTGTTCAGTTAGATATAGTTTGCAAAAGCTAGATATACCATAAAAAAAGATTACATAAAAAGATTACATCACTATCTCAGCGTCCAGCTTCCATTGATCCATGCTCTGCCTGACTTCGGGGGTGGGGCATGTCAGAGAGAGAGGAGAGAGAACGAGCGAGCTGGACAACAGTTCCCAGTTTTAAAAACTACCCAGGACTACCAATGAGGTATAGACACACTGAGGCTCCCAGAGGGGGTGGCACTTGGAGAAAGCAGAAGATAAAAGTGTTATCCAAAAGGTATCAGCATTCCCGGATCTTACAGCTGCACCTCCAGAAATGTAATATATCTCCTCCAATGCACCAAATGCCCTGATGGAAAATACATAGCAGAGACAAAACAACAACTGCGCACCAGAATGAACGCACATCCGAAGTCTATCAAAGACAGGAATACCCAATTACCGGTGGGGGCACATTTCTCACAAGAAAACCACTCTCTCTCCAATTTCTCAGTCCTGGTCCTCAAGGGAAACTTACACACCACTTCCCAGAGACGAGCCTATGAACTCCACGTCTTCAACCTCCTGAATACTAAAAACCATGGACTAAATATAGACATTGGATTTATGACACATTATAACCTGCCTGACATCTGACTCCCCAGGTATCTCTCCACTATTCATCCCCCTTCTCTCTCTTTCCCCCCACCTCCCCAGCTGTGCCTCACCCATTGACTCCTCAGTCTACATTTTCACTGACTACCTGTCGTGTATGCATACCAGCCCAGCCTCTGGCTTCTTTACTTTTCATTCCATCTAGGAAGAGCACACACCAACTGCTGAAACTTCCTTAGCCTGACGAAGGGTTTTTGAACCCGAAAGCTTGCTTAATAATTGTTTTCCAACTATTTAAGTTGGTCTAATAAAAGATATCAGATTCACCCAAAGAACCTTGTCTGCCTGTGTCCTTAGACCAACACAACTACAACTTACACCCTTATCCAAAAGGTGGAACTCAGGGTAGCTGGGACATCAGCTGTCCCTCCTGCCCAAGGC